GGTTTCCTCCAGACTGGCCTACTCGTCGAGTCCAGGCGTGGACTCGCCGAGTAGATCACTTAAAACCCGCATCCAACCCGGCATCTACTCGACGAGTTAGGGCTACTACTCGCCGAGTAGCTCTTTATAAAAGACATTTAATAAATTAAATACGTACCAGGAACTGGACGTTACACAAGTACTTTAATCACAATTTACCTACATATCCCAACCGATCTCTGCATGCATCTATACTAAAAATTTAACCAAGTAGCATTCTTTCCTCCTCCACTACATATAAAGTAGCATGGCAATTCTGTACTTAAGGCAACAAACTGCTATAAACTTTAAAATTTGGCTAATAGTTGACTATGGTACACTTGTCTATAAGGACTGGTCAACTATATTTCAAATTTTATGTCCCTTTTAAAGTCCTCTTTTGCTAGTGTAAGCTAAGGTATCTATAACTTGAAACCTAATTCACTTAAACCATCATATCATCCAATTTCTAACAAGAAGTACATCCCAAAAAAAAATTGTTAATGACAGAAACTTTAACTAAAATAACCAAAAATATGTACTTATGTAAATACGGCCACATAGCAATTAGCAAGTTAGATAATGCACAAAATACACATACAAAAATACATATAATGGCATTCTTCATGTGCTAACATACAAATGACTACATCAGAACAAAAAGGGAGCCTTCTAAAGCTTCCAATAGCCATTATGAGGCTAAGCCTTCCCTTTACCTTTGTTGCTAGGAGCTACACCTGTATTACATGCCAACAACAAACAACGGGTAAGCTACTAGCTTAGTGAGTAACTAAATACTACTCCGTGCTAAATGCATGATAAGTATGTAGAAACTACATGATATGCTTACAAATGTAAGCGTGCAATGCAATGTTATGCAGTGATAAATGCAATCTAACTAGATGGATGTGGTATTGTGTAACGGCTTACTAACAACTTAACACGGGATCTTGACTAATAAATAACCTTACTCTATAGACTATAGTGATTTGAGTGTTTAAATGAACTCTCCCATAACATGATTTCGTTTAATCTGCCAACACTAGTAAAAAAAGAACTTTAAATACTAAAAGCTTCACCTTTATGAGAAGATGTTTAAAAAATATATCCAACATTTCAACTAAGCATTCAAATTAGGGTTCAACATATGAACATCATAAAAAACCTTAACTTATAACCCATCAATCTCAAACATAACAACCAATACTGAGTTGGTGTATATATAGCACATTACCTCAGTTTTTGATAGAATCTTGCAGATCCCTACTAAACCCTCAAGAATTCACCTTCAATAGTCCAAAATTGCACACACACATAAGGTCTGTACATTAGCTTTGACTAAAATATGATAAAATGATTTTTCCTATTCTAATCGCTTGTCAAAATGGTCAGTCAAAAGTGTATGACTTTACCCTTTTGGCTGTGAATTATTGATTTCAACTAGAGATGATTGTGTGTCTTTATCGATTATATCGATTGATGATAGTTGAATATGTGATCACAAGGGGCACTATACAGATTCCAACTAGGTATAGTGTTCATTCTTGTAAGATATAGTGTTCCTTTTTACAATTTTTAAAGAAAGCTCGTCAGTTTGCATAGAAAAGCCAAGTATGATGGTTAAAAAACTCCTCTACCTCAAAGATAGTACTTCATAAGTCTTATCAGGCCTTAGGGCCCCTTACATGTTTCTGACATGGACAAAACAAGTCACATGAAACTGAGAATATCTTTGTACCCTTTTGTCAATTACCAAAGAAATTAAAAATAGTAATCATGCTTTATTCTTTTACTCTTGAACCATTGAACCCTTTATATCATATGCCAACCATTCTCTCATTGTCCATGTTAATATGTTGCAATGTACGCATATTTTGTAGGGGCCTAAACAAGCTGATATGAAAAACTAAGATCCTATTTGTTTTCGCTATTAATGTTTTCATATCGTGGGTCCCAGTTACATGGTGTGGGAAGATAGGAAGATGATTATTATGAGGATAAAATGAAGATGGGACCCGTTTTAACGTGCGATTGATTGAGCATGAGATTAGCCACAAGTAAGCTTTATATGCCATATGAACTGAAATAAACTTATTGGATTATTTTATGGCTCAAGTTAGTTGCTAAGTAGGGTAGATTTTTTTCAAAATACAATGTCCTAATAAGAAAAAAAAAATGAAAATACAATGCTATGATATAGCAAAATTGTCAGATACAATGCTTTAATAAGAGAGAAATCAAAAGTACAATGTTGTAGTAGAAAGAAATCAAAGTACATTGCCATTCCTCGAGAAAATAACAACACACTTGAGGAAATAGAAGAAAAAAGTAAATGAAGACAATTTATAAAAAGTTGGGACTTAATGGGTAAGCCTCGTTTCCCTGACTTTCTCTACTAACTCATTCTTTCTCCATTAAGTCAAAAGAAAGAACACCTAGCTAATACAGTCATATTAGTTAAAGAAAGTATAAGCTTATAGATTAACACCTAAAAAAACAAAATCTTACTTTAAATACTTTGTTTAGACAAATGTAGTTAGGTCTTTTGATATTATGAACACTCATGAATCAACTTTTCCTCCTTTTTTAGAGGCCTAGTAAGATGTAATACAGCATTGTGATAGGCAAAGATATTATCATTCCAAAAATGACCCTGTAAAGAAACAAAATGGATTAGGAAATTAATTATTATAAGATCAA